CACACCTCCACACACGCGCACACACCTCCACACACGCGCACACTTGCAGGCAGGTCCTGAGCAGCTTCCCTCCCTGGGCTCCTGACTCCCGTCTTCTCTCTGTCACACAGCTGGGCAGAGCCCTGTGTGCCACTACCCTGGGAGGCTTTGAGAGCAGCCACTTTGGTCTAGGTGGGAGTCTCTAGGGACAATCCAGGAGCCAGGGATGCTGTGGTGCACCCATGGGTGGGACCCTGAGGTTTCTGGGCCCATTCTGCAGTGGGTGGCCATTGGTGGATCACACCCCAGGGGGTTATGAGGGAGGCGGCAGATCCCACCAGTCCTTTGCCTTGCTGCCAGGTCAGCCCACGTCAGTAAAGCCTCATAGGCACGCAGCAGGTGGTGGGGAGCTTCTCCTTTCTCCTCTTGGGAAGGAGGTTGACCAGGTCATCTCAGCTCCCTCCCAGCCCCGAGGTTTTCAGACTGTTCTGTGAAGGCACACATGTGTATACCAACACAGATGACCCCTCATGTGTGCACGGCTCTCTACAGTTTATGAAAGAGCTCCAAGGCTGTCTCCTTTAGTTCTCATAACAGCCCTGGAGGTTGTGTAGGTAGATGAGGAGACTGAGACTCAGAGGTGGCCCAGTTGAAAGTGAAGTCACTGCCGTGCACCGCAGTGAGTAATGTGGTATTAAGTCGTGTGTACAGGTCACCAGCCGGTCAGGGCTGCACTGTGACCAGTGCGGGGGATTTTCCTCCCAGGAAGACTCCAGCCAGCTTGGGAGCTGGGCCAGGCCCTGTGCTGGGTGCTGGAGATCTGAGAATGAGTCAGACTTGGCCCCTGTCCCCCAGGAGCTCCTCCCATTGGGCAGGGAAGAGAGAACCATGCTGGGGTGCCAGGAGAAGGGAGGCATGGGTGTTTGATGGTTGTGGTAGATGGGACCCGAAGGAGGGAGTGTTTGAGGGATGAGGATGAGAGCGAGGACTGCTGGGCCAGGTAGCTGGTGTCCGTGGTGATGGGGAATTTCTACTGTAGACAGCGAGAGGGTAGGGAGCAGAGCCTGATGGACTCCTTGCATCCATCCCTTCACTTTGACACTTGCCAGCCCATGGCTAGTCTTATTTCCTCTACACTTATTTCCTCTACACTTATTTCCTCTACACCTGCACTTTGCCCAGGCAGCATTTCATTTCATCCGTAAATATTTCCGGATGCATCTCTGAAAGATAAGGAATCAAAAAATAAAAAATAAAAAAAACATAATACTAACTTTTAAAATAATCCCTTAATATCATTAAATATCCAGTAATTGTTCTAATTTCTAATTTGTGCTATAAATTTGCATAGGTTTTACAATTTGTTTGAGTGAGATCCAAATAGAAGTCCGTAACTGCAATTGGTTGATTGTTCTTTCATCTTTTATTTTTTCCTAGTAATTTATCTATCAAAGAAACGGGGCCATTTGTCCTGTGGGGTTTCCCATGGTGTGGGTTTTGTTGACTGTGTCTTTATGGTGGTGTTTAACATGTTCTCTGTCCCCTGCATTTCCTGTAACCTGGGACTTAGCTCTAGAAGCTTGATATGGTCTAGGAACAATTTTTTTCTTTTTTTGTCACAGCTGCATCATGAAAGATGTTGTATACTTCATTCAGGGGGCACATCATGGCTGGTTATCTTTCTTTTTTGTGATGTTAGAAACCATCAGTGACCACCGCCTAAATTCATTCATTCTTCAGTGGTCGTAAAATGCTGGTGGTCTAATATCATCATTCCTTTCTCATTTATGAGCTGGAAATCTTTTCCAGTTCAAGACTTCCCTCCATCTACTATTTGGTTACCATGTGGTACAGTTTGTCTACAGAGACAGGATAAATTTCCTGTAATTTTCCAGTTTCAATAAAAAAAGACTTGATTCCCTACCCTCCTCTGATAGTGACTAATTGTTTTTTTAAGTATCATTCTGATCTCATGAATTTGAACATACTTGATGTGTTTTAATCCATTGCTGTTTTTGCCCTTGTTGACGCTCAAATTAGCTCATCTTTGGCCAGCAGGAACCTCTTCAGGGTGGTTCCTGAATCCTTTGACGTGGCCCCAGGAGTCTTTGCTGGCTTCCTTGATTTCTGGCATGGCGTGGGAGGGTTTTTGGTTTTTGGTTTGGAGCACACCTGTCTGGACAGTCTCCCTCCTGCTCAGCATCCTGGCTGACAGCAGAGCAGTTGAGGGGTGAGAAGGCTGGCTTGGGGCCCATCCCGTGCCAAGTGCAGGGGCGGTGAAGCAGGAGGGGAAATGGAGGCCCTCGGGGATCCTAGACTCTGGATCTCCAGGCCCTGGAGCCTCATTAGCAGCTTCTTGAGCCACAGAGGGCTCAGAGCCAAGCTTCGAGTTTGACTAATGATCCTCCCGAGGTCCCAGCAGCTTGCGAGGGCTGCTCTTCCTCCCAGCCATGCAGTCCAGAGCATTCAGAACAGGGCAGGAGCAGAAGGAGGGGGTGAAGGCAGAGGGCCAGGCCCACGTTCTCAGCTTAGGACTCCCTGTCGCTCTGTGTGCTTGGGCAGATCTTGCGTCTTTCTGGACCTCAGCCTTCCCATTTGTGCGGTGGGAATGGTAACCCTCACCCTGTATGGAACCGCCCTTTTTCTTTTGAGACAGAGTCTTGCTCTGTTGCCCAGCTCACTGCAACCTCCGCCTCCCGGGTTCAAGTGATTCTCATGACTCAGCCTCCTGAGTGGCTGGGATTACAGGCGCACACCACCATGCCCAGCTAATTTTTGTATTCTTTTTTAGTAGAGACAGAGTTTTACCATGTTGGCCAGGCTGGTATTGAACTGGCCTTAAGTGATCCACCTGCCTTGGCCTCCCATGAGACCTATTTTTGATACAGCTCTCTGTCCAGAAAGCAAAGTGGGGAGAGTGCCAGGAGTCAGGGTGTTTTCACTTAGAAAGGGCACAGAGTTGACAGAAAAGTCAGGGTGAGGAGGTGGAGGAAAGGAACAGCCAGTGTTGAGCCCTTGCTGGGTTCCAGACAGTGGCCAGGTTGGGAAGTCCTGGGTTTGAACCTTGCCTCCTTCACTCGTGCCTGAGGTCAACCTTCTGCCAGCACCTTCCAGTAGTATCGCCTCAAAAGCCTGTCATGAAGCTCAGGGGTGCTAGTGTGAGCAGCCTGGCCTTGTGCCTGGGACCCAGCAGGGCTCCATTAGGGCAGTAGTACCTCTCACTGCAGTTAACATTTTCATTTTCTTGGTCTCACATGTCCCATTAGGGAGCATTTCCCTTTGCCAACATCCCTGTTGATGGTAAAAGATGTGCAAACAAAAGTGTCCTTAATGAGCGTGCAGTGGGGAGCAGCTTTTGGCTGAGGTCTGTACACTCAGGTGAGTGCCAGCCTCCTGGTGTACCTCTGGTTCCTCCGCCTGGGTGCCCCCCATACTTGGAGTGGTTTTCTTCTAGAAGGAGCTGCTTATGATCCCGATGGGGCTCAGCTCCACTTGGTCCCATGCCCAGCGGGGCCAGGGGTCATGCACCCTGACTTGACAGGGGCACTCCTTTCCCACATAGCCCCGCCTGCACCCTGTGTAGCCTCAGCACTTTGCCTGGGTGCCTCCCTCTCTCACCAGACTGGGACCCTCTTGAGGGGAGGGGCCATGTGACTCACCTGGTTGTCAGTGTCCAGCCTGGGGCTGGGTGCAGAGTGGTCCACAGTGCCAAGGAGCTCATTTTTCAGAGGCAGACAGATCTGGGTTTGAATCCTGGCTTCAAACCAAGGTTGGTCTGCCTCCAAAGCATGTGTGTATTTTCTAGCTGTGTGACCCTGGACGAGTTACATGCCCTGTCTGGGCCAGAGTATTGTCATCTGTGAAGTAGGACTGGATAATAGTCATCTACTCAGAGGTTATCGTGATAATTAGATGGAGATAATTCGTCGTAGTCACAGGCATTTCCCAGATGATTCATAAGTAATAAAATCAGTGTCTCAGTGTCCCCCATCAATGTCTCTGAATTCATTCATTCAGTCAATGCATGTTCACTAAACATACTCTCTGGGCCAGGCCCTGGGCTAGGTACTGGGTGCATAGCAGTGACCGAGACCTATATGGCCCTGCCCCCAGAGAACTGACATTCCAGTGATAACATCAGACACTGAGCTCAAAGTCACAGAGTTACTTAATTATAACTTGGTAAAGGTAAGTATCTCAGATGAGAGCTGCCAAGGGCCATGAGACTGAGATAGGGGTCCTGGCCTAATCTCAAAAGTCAGGAAGGGCTTCTTGGAGGAGGAGGATGGACACTAAAGGACAAATGGAAGTCTACTGGGTAAAGAGGAGGAAGAAGAACCTGGAGCAGTGAGCAGGGATGGGGGCTGCCATGGGGGAGGCAGAGAAATGAGGCTGGGGGAGTGCATTGAGAGTTTGGGTCTTATTTTCTAGGGAAGTGACAGGACTGGGTTGGTCTGTGTGGGGCGAGAGTAGATGTAACTGCAGACACTGTTACAGTGTCCCTGGGCGGGGAGATGGGGAATTGGGCCAGGGTAGTGCCAGTAGGATGGAGAGGAGGAGATGGATGTCAGGAGGATGGAGGTGCTCAGATTGGCCTGATTTGATGGAGGGAGGGAAAGCGAAGTAGCCAGTGGGGCTGCAGCAAGGGGGACTGCCAGCATTGGGGTGGGCTGGATGGGTGGATGGTGGCGCTGGTCACTAGGCAGGAGCTGGTAGTAGATGTAGACAGAAGTCTCGGGGAAGGTTGCAGGGAGGCATGAGAAAGGGAAGCTCACACACTCTGAGAACAACACAGCTGGAAGGAGGCCCAGGGAGCCTCCACGCCCCGCGGAGATGGGAACCTGAGCCCGGAGATGGGGAAGATTCACTTGGGTCTCACGCAGGCTTGTGGCAGAGTCGGAACCTGAACCCAGTATTCCTTTCCGTTCTGATTCACGGAAAGCTCGCACCCCTGTTTCCTCAGGAAGCCAGCCATCCCCTCACTGTGTCCCCCCATCCTTTCCCCCACTCCCCCCACCCAGGTCATCCCAGACTGGAAAGAGCAGGAATGGGACCCTGAAAAGCCCAACGCCTACGCGGGCATCTTCCACTTCCACTTCTGGCGCTTCGGGGAATGGGTGGACGTGGTCATCGATGACCGGCTGCCCACAGTCAACAACCAGCTCATCTACTGCCACTCCAACTCCCGCAATGAGTTCTGGTGTGCCCTGGTGGAGAAGGCCTATGCCAAGTAGGTGCCAGCAGCAAGCAGGCAGGGGGGAGGTCCAGGCGGGGGTGGCACTGGATAGGCTCTTCATGGTGTTTCCTTAGCCAGGGCTTTAAGCACAGAGAGGCGAGGGGCTGGTGCAGGCACGCAGCAGGCCCAACCGCCAGGCCTGCGGGCATAGTCAGCCGAGCCTGCGCTGGGTGGGGTGAAGGCCTGGGCCCTGTAAGGAGAGGAATGTTGGTTACTCCCATTTTAGAGGGAGAAGACTGAGGCCCAGGCAACATCCTGTAGGTAGCTGGGGGCAGAGGCAACACTCACATTTAGGACCATTCTCGAAGGTTCATGCTGCCACGCCCTGCCTGGGGCCTTGGTTGGGGAAGTGGTAACTGAGCTGGGCCTGGTTGTGCAGGGTGGGCTGCTTGCCTGCCTTCCCCGCTTGCTGGGCCTCCCTCTTGTCCACTGTCCACCTCTGCCTGGCTGACTGTCCATTCTGTCTTTGCTGACCCCTCCTTCTGCTCCGTGCCTTCTGCTTCTGTGTCCCTGGTGCCCAGCACAGAGCCCAGCATAGAAGGGGCACAAGCGAAGTTTTGCTGAGCAGTGGGGAGCCCTGGGGAAGAGTGGCCTGCCCAGGCCGTTTGGGGCAGGGATAGGCCTAGGCCAGGAGGGAGGAGGGAGGAGGGGCAGTGGGGTCAGAGGCCAGCCTTGCCAGCTCTAGGGGAGCCACTCCCTGGTTCCTCCTACTAGGCCCATTTGTCAATCTTGCTGGAAACCTGCGTGTGTAGGGGCAGGGGCAAGGAGGGAGACAGACAGAGAACAAGAGAAAGGGGGAGACAGGAAAAAGAAAGACAACTCCCAACATCAAAAACCCAAGAAAACACATTGGCAGCTTCCACTTTGAATCCTAAGAAAGGAAAGCCAGCCCCCTGGTGGCCACTGAGTTTCCACCGCCTGGATACAGGCCTGTATTCCCCGCTCCAGAGGAGCCGACCCAGGGGCCTTGGTTGTCTTTTGTTTTTTTGAAGAACACAGTTTCATTGTGGTAAAATATACAAAACATAATGCTTCTCATTTTAACCATGTGGAAACATACAATTCAGTGGCATTCATTATGATCACAGTGCCATGCGCCATCACCACTATCTATCCCCAGAACCTTCTCATCATTCCAGCAGGAGCTCTATACCCATTAAACACTGACTCCTTCCTTACCCCGACCATTGTTGGCACTTTTGAAAAGAGTTGCTTTTTTTTTTTTTTTTTTTGGGATAGCTGATTTTTCAAAATTGAGCCACTAAGGCTTAGGGGAATTTAAGCCTTGTATGTTGGCCTGAGTGTTAAGAACTGGGTTTTAGTGTTAGCTCCACCGTGGCCTGCTGTGTGACTGTAACAGGTTGTCTGACCCCTCTGAGTTTCAAAAGCCTCCCTCATAGAGGGGAAGGATGCAGCCTGGCTGGGGAGCATGAGCTGGGAAGTGTTTCCACATTGCTTCCCAGGCTGGCAGGCTGCTACCAGGCGCTGGATGGAGGCAACACAGCAGACGCACTGGTGGACTTCACGGGTGGTGTTTCTGAGCCCATTGACCTGACCGAGGGTGACTTTGCCAGCGACGAGACTAAGAGGAACCAGCTCTTTGAGCGCATGTTAAAAGTGCACAGCCGGGGCGGCCTCATCAGTGCCTCCATCAAGGTGAGAACACAGCAGGCCCCAGAGGCGGCCCCTCCCCTTCACCCTCACTGACTGAGATGGGAGACAACTGTGACATCCCACACTCTGGTCAGTTCCTATGTATCCAGACCCTCAGCCTCGTGGGGGAGGGGAGAAGTTGGAAGGTGCAACCCCCTGCCCAGACCCTCTAGGCTATGAAAAGCCTTTCCTGCACTGTTCAACTAAAACTTCTTTCTGATCCTCTTGAGTTATGAATGTCTGTGCACCTGAGGGTGGTCCTGATTTGATTAATTGCTCATGTTTTGGATGAGAAAGCTGAGGCCCAGGGAAAACAAAGCTCGAACCCAAGTTTAGCAGACCCTGTGGTGTGCTGGTAAACTGCCTCTGTAGCTAAGTAAAAAGCCCTGATTTGTAGCATTTGCTAATTACTGTGGTGTAAATACTCCCACCATGGCTGATTTCCAGCTGCCCACGTTTAGCAACAACTATTAACAATATTCCTGGCGGGTGCGGTGGCTCGTGCCTATAATCCCAGCACTTTGGGAGGCCAAGGTGGGCGGATTACCTGAGATTTGAGAGTTTGAGTTTGAGTTTGAGACCAGCCTGACCAACATGGAGAAACCCCATCTCTACTAAAAATACAAAATTAGCCGGGCGTGGTGGTGCATGCCTGTAATCCCAGCTACTCGGGAGGCTGAGGCTGGAGAATCGCTTGAACCCGGGAGAAAGAGGTAGTGGTGAGCTGAGATCGTGCCATTGCACTCCAGCCTGGGCAACAAGAGCGAAACTCCGTCTCAAAAACAAAAAACAAAGCAATGTTCCTGAATGCTTAACAGTTCCTGGAATATTTAACAACAGCCGAGCCAGTGCACATTTGTGCCAGCATTCCCCTGGGCTGACCCACTGTGGGTACCTTCCTTTACTGAGACTGCTGCCCTTGGGGGTGTTAAAGGTCTGTGAACACAGCACTGCCCCATGACTGCAATTCCCGTCCCATCCTGTAGGTCCCGTGCGGCTTCCTGGCCCTCCAGCACCTGAGTCCCTGGTCTGGGTTCCAGTGTGGCCCTGCCTCTCTCAGCAACTGTGTCCTTCCACAGGCAGTGACAGCAGCTGACATGGAGGCCCGCCTGGCGTGCGGCCTGGTAAAGGGCCATGCGTATGCCGTCACTGATGTGCGCAAGGTGCGCCTGGGCCACGGCCTACTGGCCTTCTTCAAGTCAGAGAAGTTGGACATGATCCGCCTACGCAACCCCTGGGGCGAGCGGGAGTGGAACGGGCCCTGGAGTGACACGTGAGGCCTGGGGATGGGGGTGCAGGCACAGGGCATGAGGGCTTGGACAAGGACGGATGGGCTTCTTGGAGGAGGTGGCACCAGGGCTGGGCCTTGAAGGATCTGGGGGAGGATGACACTAGGAATGAATTACTTTGGAGTGGGTGTATGGGGTGATGGATTGAGCACAAGAAAGACCTGGGGCTGGAGGTGAGCTGACCCGTAGCGGGTGTAGAGACCAGCTTGGTGAATGGGTGAGGGACGGGAGCAGGGAGGGAGGCCACAGCCCTGAGCAAATGGGGGACCCCTCTGTGCTTGGCTCATGGCCCTGGTGAAGCCAGGATGGGAGTGGAGCCCAAGTGCTAAGTGAAGGAGCCTTCTTCACTGGGGGTCACGTCCCCCTCCTCCCAGCCTGCAGCTTTGCTTCCAGACCTCCCAGCATGGTGGCAGCTCACAGTCCCTTGAGGGAGGAGGCAGGCAGGGCTTCCCGGAGAGGGGCTGGGCATGGCCCCAGTGCCCCTGGCCACACCATGCCGCTGGAGGCCTGGTGCAAGACTGCCCCTCGGGCCTCCTCGCCTTTGCCAGAGAGATCCTGGTGGGCCTGCCTCTTAGACAGCTCCCTTTCTCCTCCCCGGCCCTCACACCCCAGCTCGGAGGAGTGGCAGAAAGTGAGCAAGAGTGAGCGGGAGAAGATGGGTGTGACGGTGCAGGACGACGGTGAGTTCTGGTGAGTGTGTGTGCCCTGGACATCCGGGGCTGAGGGGGAGCTTCCCACGGGCCTGGCGGGGAGCACCAGGTGGGGAGTCAGGAGCCAGGCCTCTCCTGCATGCCTCATCATCTACTTGCTGTGTGGCCATGGACAAGTCACACCGTCTCAGAGCCTGTTTCCTCCTCTGTAAAATTACTCAGGCAATAACAGGCCCTTTGATCCCCACAGTCCCCTCTGCCAAACTGAGGGGTCCTGGATCCGCTGTGGCACCCAGACTGAGCCCTTGGCATGCAGGTCAGGGAGTCGTCTAAGAGGTGGGCCCACCAGGATCTCCCCAGCAAGGGTAAGGAGGTATGAAGCGCAGTCCAGCACCAGCGGTGTGGTGTAGCGAGGGGCACTAGGTCTATGCCCAGTCCCTCTCCAGGAAGCCCTGCCTGCAGCCTGCCTCCAGGGGCCCTCTGGCAGCCTGATTTCTGAGATTAGGTAGCAGAGGCTCCCAGAGGAGCTAGCTCCTAAGCTGAGACTTGAGGTATAAAGTAGCCCTTGGTGGGCAAGGAAGGAGACGTGGCACAGAGGTGAGAGAACACAGCTGGGTTTGAGAGGGGAGCTAAGTAGGTACATGGGTGAGCTGGGAAGATGACAGCAGCTCAGCTTAAAGAGCCCAGTAATTGGCTGGGTACAGTGGCTCATATCTATAATCCCAGCACTTTGGGAGGTCGAGGTAGAAGGACTGCTTGAGGCCAGGAGTTTGAGACCAGCCTGGGCAGCATAGTGGGACCCCATCTCTACAAAAATGAAAAATTAGCTGGGTGTGATGAGGTACCTGTGTAGACCCAGCTACTCGGGAGGCTGAGGTGGGAGGATTGCTTGAGCCCAGGAGGTTGAGGTTATAGTGAGCCATGATCGTACCACTGCACTCCATCCTGAGCAAAAGAGCAAGACCCTGTTTCAAAAACAAAAAGAAAAACCCCAGTAGTAATAAGGGTTCATCCTGCATTCATCCAGCCTGCATGAGTCCTGAATGTGGGCCAGGCTCAGTGTCACCCCTCAGCAGAACCTGATACTAAACTCAGCCCCTTCCTGGAGGGGTACAGGCATCCTGTGTGTGCTGAATTCTTTCGGGGCCCCCAGGCAGACCAGGGGCAGATGGCAGCGGTCCTGGCACCCAATGAGGAGCCCTTCTGCAGGTGTCAGGTCAGCTGCCGCAGAAGGCCACCCAGGCCACTTTGCCAGTCTTGCTCAGGGGTCAGCAGATAAAAACACAGCAGAACTACTTGTCTTTAGAAAGAGTTTCTTCCGAAGGCCTTTCTCTTACATGTTCACAGTTAATTCACTACCCCCTGCCCCCACCAGCCCGCTGGAGGCGTTCACAGTGTGCAGTGACCATAGCAACACCCTGGCCACTGCAGCACGCTCACCATGGGGTTCCCACCATCCACTTAAGCCTCACAACAGCCATGGAAGATCGTGGATGCAGATGTGCTTTATAAACTGTAGAGGGCAGCAGACAGTAGTTATTAACACCATTCACGACAGTAACAGCCTGCGTTTGCCCGTGTGCTCTGTCTGCTGAGAGTTGCACTGCCTGCTTTGATTACATTACCTAATTCCTTTGCCAGCTCTGAGATGGGCACCCGCTGTTAGATTCAGCCCCATTTTACAGGCGAGGAAACAAGTCAGAAAAGAGGTTAAGGGTCCGTGCGATGCCATGCCCATGCCCTTGTGTGGGCTTAGCTCTCCTCTCAAAGTCAGCTGTGTTCTCTCACGTCTGGGCCACATGGACATATTAGGTGGCTGGGCTGGGGGGCCAGGAGCCTGGAGAGGTGTGGGGGCGGTACCCTGCTCAGCCCCTCCCCACATCCAGGATGACCTTCGAGGATGTGTGCCGGTACTTCACGGACATCATCAAGTGCCGCCTGATCAACACATCCTACCTGAGCATCCACAAGACGTGGGAGGAGGCCCGGCTGCATGGCGCCTGGACACTGCACGAGGACCCGAGACAGAACCGCAGTGGCGGCTGCATCAACCACAAGGACACCTTCTTCCAGAACCCGCAGGTGGGCATTCTCAGGGACCCCCACCCTGCCCCTGCAGCAGCTGCGGGGTGCTTTGCCACTGTCCTGCCAGGGACTCCTGTTCGACCTTGGGTAATCCCTGTCCCTCCTTGGGCCTCAGCAAATCTGTCTGTACAGTGGGGGTTAGAAGGGGTTACATCGGTCCCATCTGGGGGTCATGAAGCCCCCAGCCTCACAATCTGACCTACAGGTGGTAAAAATGAGGAAACCAGGGATGGCTCTGAGGGACATTTGGGTGTCTTGTCCTGAGCTACAGGGACACTTAGAGGCTGAGCCGGGGACTCAGCCCCTTGTTTCCACAACAGCACAATTCTGTCCCTTCCTGGGAACTTGGCCGGGCTGGGCTTCCCCACGGGGCCTCTCCCCACGGCCTCCTCAGTCTGATCCATGGCACTGCTTAGCCCTGGTCCTAGATGTGCCTCTGTTGAGCACCACCTGTGTGCCAGGCTCTGTGCAGAGCACCCACCATGGCATTGGTTTCCCCGGCCTTTATGCAGGGTAGCCGTTGCAGGCATTGGTGGGCCCACCTCACAGCAGAGGGACCAAGGCACAGCGAGGTGTTGTGACTGGTTCAGGCTCTGGAATCTGAGCTTCCGGGAGCCAGCCAGCCCATCCCTGGCGTGGTCTCACTGCCGTGTCTCTCTCTCTCCTTGGCCACACCTGCAGTACATCTTCGATGTCAAGAAGCCAGAAGATGAAGTCCTGATCTGCATCCAGCAGCGGCCAAAGCGGTCCACGCGCCGGGAGGGCAAGGGCGAGAACCTGGCCATTGGCTTTGACATCTACAAGGTGAGGCCAGCCAGGTTTCCTGCTGTGGGTGGGGAGAGGGAGGGAGTTTGGACTGCCCATACCTGGGGAGGAACACTATAGAACACCTTGGTCACTGCCATCGCCCCAGCCGCCCTGGCCACCGTGGCAAACGTTGTGAGGATGCCGTGGCATGGGCCCCATTTAGAATATTCACAGAGGGCCCAGCCTGCCCACGGTTGGCTTCTGTGGGAGCTCTCAGCCTGATTTCTTTCTGCCTAAAACCCACAGGCCTGGGATGTTTGGTGGATGAGGAAGGGGAAGATTGCTGGTGGTTGGGGCCAGGCCCTGGGAGGCCCTGGGTATCTGCTGGGCCCCCGCTGCTCCTCCCTCAGGGTTCAGGACCCCTTGCAGCCCCTCAGCCTTCCTGCATTGGAGGCCTTGCTGGGCACCAGGAGGAGGCATCCTTGAGCACAGCCACGTGGGGTAACCCCTGGCCGCACCTCGTGGCCCGGAACCTGAGGCTTTCCACATGTTGTAATGCCCAGTGTGTGGTGACAGTCAGCATGGTGGGACCCCATGTGCCCGTCAGACCCTGAGAATGGAGTGAAGCCACCAGGACCTGCAGGGGCTGGGTCCATGCTGAGTCCTTGTTGTCTGATGCGCCTGGCCATGCTGTGGCACTTTGTTTATACCCTTGTGCTGGTACATTTGTGGTGTGCTACTGTCTTGTGACATACTGTTGTGACTTTGGCATGTGGTGATCTTCACTAGTGTGACCAGAACACTTGTTTTGGGATTGTCAGGCAGGTCCTGGCAGCTGGTGATGGCACTTCAAGGACATGTGCTGTAACCTCTGCAGATCCTGATACTTGGTTGTGCTGTTAGAGTCAGAAACCCCACTGACATTGTTACCAGGGGGATTCCTATTGCCCTCTATTTTTTTTTTGTTTTAAGAGACAGGGTCTTGCTCTGTCACCCAGGCCAGAGTGCAGTGGTGCCATCATAGCTCATTACAGTCTTAAATTCCTGAACTCAAACGATCCTCCTACCTTAGTCTCCCTAGTAGTTGGGACTATAGGTGAACACCACCATGCCTGGCTAATTTTTAAGTTTTTTGTAGAGATGAGGTCTCACTTTGCTGCCCATGCTGGCCTTGAACATCTGGCTTCAAGTGATCCTCCCACCTTGGCCTCCCAAAGCGCTGAGATTACAGGCATGAGCCACTGCGCCCAGCCTCCTTTAATAGTTTTTATTGAGATATAATTCACAGAGCATGCAATTTGGCCATGTAAAGTATACAATCTTATGACTTTTGTGTGATCAGAGTTTGTACAACCATCACCACAATCAATTATAGAACATTTTCATCTCCCCGAAAGAAACCCACTCCCTTTAACAATCACCACCCACTCCCACTGACCTCTTCCCTTCAGCCCTGCAAACACGAATCCACTTCTGTCTCTATAGATTTGCCTGTTCTGAACATTTCATATAAAGGGATTCCATCGTCCCTTCCATGGTGGTGAGGGGGAGACGGGGTGTTGTAGGGTGTGTCTCCGCGTGGCCCAGCCCCTCCCACCTCCCACAGGTGGAGGAGAACCGCCAGTACCGCATGCACAGCCTGCAGCACAAGGCCGCCAGCTCCATTTACATCAACTCACGCAGCGTCTTCCTGCGCACTGATCAGCCCGAGGGCCGCTATGTCATCATCCCCACCACCTTTGAGCCCGGCTACGCTGGCGAGTTCCTGCTCCGAGTCTTCACTGATGTGCCCTCCAACTGCCGGTACTTGGGGGCTGGCTTGAGGCCAGTGTGGGTGGAGGTGAGGTCCACACTGGGCCAACCAGGAACCTGCAGCCTCGGAGATGCTCAGTGTCTCTGGGCCTCCAGCCACTCTGGGCTGATACCAGTGCCCATCTCCTTCCCTTCTCTTCCCTGTTCCCCTGTCCCAGCATCCCTGGCCATGACTAGGAACAGCTTCTTGTATGTACACTGCACTCTACAGTTGACAGAGAAGCTTTCACTCATCTCATTTGATCTTCTTGCATCCCTGAGCGGGAGGCCTGATTCCCTCACTTTACCAATGAGATTCAGGGGCTGAGGTTAGAAGGGTTGTCCGAGGTCATGCAGCCGGTGGTGGAGTTGGGCTGGTCACCCAGCCTGCCTAGTTCCAGGGTTGGGTCTTGTCACCACAATTTCCTGTCCCATGGGGGTGGCTCTGGGCTCCAGTGCTGAAGCCCTCTGTGTCCCTGCTGGGGCATTGACGCTGTGTGTCTCGCACTGCTCTCCACTGTGAGATACAGCCCAGGCTCGGTGTCCCCCGAAGGACAGGTGAGCTCTGCGCACGTGCCGGACCCAGGAGGCAGCTTGTGGAGTCAGACGGCTCAGGGTTCTGCTGGCCCAGGCTCCCCAGCTTTCCAGCTGTTGGGCAAGCCCTCACCTGGCTGAGCCTGCTGCTTCCTCAGCTGTGAAATGGGCATCATAATAGCCTTTGTGGAGATTAGGAATCACCCATAATGCCAGCGGAGGACTTGGCACACAGAAGGTGCTCAGCAAGTTGCCTTTTCCCTGGGGAAGGATCGGGCAGGAAGCCCCTAGGGCTTGGACAAGTGGGGACTGCTCATGGGAATTTGCCCAGGACTAAATGAAATCAAATTTGGGCTTAATACTGCTTTTCTTCCCTCCCCACTTTCTGAACCCCCTCTTCACCCCTGTCTTCCTGGCCCTTCTCTATCACCCCCCTCTCCCCTGCCACCCCATATCAGGGAACTGCGCCTGGATGAGCCCCCACACACCTGCTGGAGCTCCCTCTGTGGCTACCCCCAGCTGGTGACCCAGGTACACGTCCTGGGGGCTGCTGGCCTCAAGGACTCCCCCACAGGTGAGCTCTTCCAGGGAAAGTCCCCCGGCCCTCTTGCCAATTGCCCCATGGCCTCTCTCTGCCAGCACAGACACCAGCCTCAGAGCTCTCCTGCTCGCAGAGGCACTGCAGGCCCAGCCATTCCTAGGGTGATGCCTGATGCGGGGCACATAGAGAGGAAAAGGTTTACCTTCTGCTCTCAGGAGGCTTCCAGCTCGGGGGGAGACCTCAGGGAAGGCTTCCTGGAGGGAGTAGCCTTTTTCCAGGCTGAGAAGATACAAAGCCTGATGAAAGGGGGTAAGGGAGAAAGGTGCTCCGGGCAGAGGGAGCAGTGTGGGTAAAGCTCTGGAGGCTGGAGATGGCCAGTGCACCGCTGCTGGCCAGCCTGTCTCTGGAAACGAAGGGGCCTTGAGGTGGGTCAGGCTCCAGTCTGTCCATCTGAATAACTGAGCCAGGTGGGTATCTCACCTGCAGATATCTGTCCCATCCAGGCCCTGCCGCAGCCCCCGCCCCCACCCTCACCCCATCTCCCACTCCCTCTCCCTAGGGGCTAACTCTTACGTCATCATCAAGTGTGAGGGGGACAAAGTCCGCTCGGCTGTGCAGAAGGGCACCTCCACACCAGAGTACAATGTGAAAGGCATCTTCTACCGCAAGAAGCTGAGCCAGCCCATCACTGTACAGGTGAGCCCCTGGTTCCGGAGGCCACCCCCTGGGCTCCCAGCCTGAGGCTTCCCCACTCACAGAGACAAGCCCAGGTGGAAGACCCTCTGACGGGGACCCAGGCATGCTGGGCTCTAGCTGTCTGTCCCTGACCCCTGGTGTGGCTTTGGGAGCTCTCTTGCCACTCCACGGTCCCTCTGTAGGTAGGTTAATTTGATTCGTTGGTGTGGTCCTGAGATCCAGCAGGGTCAGTCTCCTGACTGGGGACAGCAGTCATCTCTGCTGACCTCACCCTCAGCTTTGGGAACTGTCCCCCCATTCCCCCATGAGGGCCCCACCTGGAAAGTGGCACTGAGCCGCTGTGTGGTGGGTGTGGCTATTTCCCAAGAGCCTTGGGCAGGGCATAGAAAGCCAGTGTCCTCCCACGGCTTCCTTCTCCTCTCAGGCTGATGTAGCCTGGGGATGATGATTCTGAACTCAATAGTAGGGAGCTCTCTGGCCCGCAGGCCTTGGTCAGCATCTCTGTCAATGAGACAGCATCTGTAAACAAGCATTTGGGGCCCCCTGGGGGAGCCACTGTGGCTTATCCAAGTTTTCTTAACACTGGGTCCCACTGGATCAAATCACAGACCTGTATGTCTCAGGGCTGGAAAGACCCCTAAGGGCAGCTGACTTAACCCTCATATTAAAGATGGGGAAACTAGGGCAGTGGGTGTATCACTTGTCCAAGTTCACTCAAGATCACTAGCGGAGCTGATAACAGATTTCACTTTATGCATGGGAGGGAGCTTAGTTAGCTGAGGAGCCTGAGGCTGGAAGGGGCACCACCTTGCCCATGGTTCATGGAGAGGCCGACAGCCCAGGGCCCCCGATCCTCAGCCAGGCTTGCACTTCAAGGCCCTGCCACCACCACCAGCACTCCCCATAGACCTGAGTTAGGGGGTGGAGAAGTGAGCCAGCTTGCACCTTGGGCTAACACGTGGGACTGTGCTCAGCCATGTCCCTGGGATACAGGGGCACACCAGTACCAAGTGGCAGACCTGCGGGCTTCAGCCTTGGGGCCAGGCCATGCCTGCCACCCCCTGACAGAACAGGTTCCACAGTGCTGCCCTTGCTTCCTACCTTGTGGACTTGGAGGTAGCCCGCCCCTCCCATGATCCTCTGTCTCTTCCCAGGTCTGGAACCACCGAGTGCTAAAGGATGAATTTCTGGGCCAGGTGCACCTAAAGGCTGACCCAGACGACCTCCAGGCCCTACATACCCTCCACCTCCGGGACCGAAACAGCCGGCAGCCCAGCGACCTGCCAGGCACTGTGGCTGTGCACATTCTCAGCAGCACCTCCCTCATGGCTGTCTGACACCTGCCCACCTACCTGGCTCCAGCAGTTCCCACCACCATCTGCATGTCCCCACTGGGCCTGGGTCTAGCCTGGGAGCCAGGACACTGGGGTCCTTTTCCCACTCTTCCACTGACTTGCTGTGTGACCTTAGGAAGTCTCTGCCCCTCCCTCAGCCTCAGTGTCCTGAGGGCCCCAAAGCATTCCCTTCTCGTGGAGGAGTTTCCTTGCTGAGATTTCAAATAGTCCTCCCCACCTCAACTGTCACCACTGCTAAGGGACTCTATCCTTTGAAAACGTTTTCCTAAGGCCCTGCTGTCTGCCGAGGAGTGCCAAGAAGATGTCACTTGTTTACACACAAACTGCCACATCCCCAAGCCCCATTCTTGCTCCTTGTGTCTTAGGCCCAACCCAGCCTCCCAGACCTCACTTTCCCCATCAGCAATACCTGGTGTTGTCCCACCTTGAAAGGACTCTTGGCTCCTGCCGGGTTCCTGCTCAGGCTGGAATTGGGAAAATATGCAGGTGACATTTGTTCATTCTCTAATCCTGTCCACTCACCCATCCATTTCCTCACTCAATGGAGATTTGCCGAATGAATAAATGACACCTTTGAGGCCCCAGGTGAAGCGGGGCCCTCCTCCGGCCTCTACCTTGGGCCTCGCCTCTGTCCTCAGGTCCTCTCAGAGGCAGATACCCAGGGGAGCTGCAGCTGCCTGCTCATTCTAGCTTCCGATTCCATTCCCAGCCCCTGGGTTAAGGTCCCTGGAGAGGTGGTATCAGTGGGGGTGAGGAAGGGCGTCTTCCTGACTCCTCTGCCCCATGCTGGAAGGAGCATGCCTGGGTTAGTGGGCCAGAGGCCAGGCAGGTGGAGGGGCTTTGGGGACCAGAAGGGGAGAGGTGCTCCCAGAGCCTCTCTGCTGTAAGACCCCAGCTTTTCCTGAAAGACAGGACTCTGGGGTGTGTGGTGCCAGGCCCACCAGAGTCAGGCCACCCACTGGGCTTGGCAGGAGATAGGGAGCCCCATCACCTGACCACAGCCCCCCACCAACATTCCCCCAAAATGCAGCCTAGGAGGCCACAGTGCTCTTCTTCCTGCCCGGACCAAAATGTTCCTTTTAGTCCTCAATGTTTTATATTATTTTTGTGTTGAAAACCTCAATTTTAATCAGGGGTTTTAAAAGAAAATTCAAAGTCTGAACCTCCATTTTTCTTCTTGGCTCCAGTTTTGCTGGTCCTCTGGAGAACTCTTCGTAAGCGTTGGCGCCGTGACCCACTTGGGATCTCTTCTGTGCCCTTCTCGGGCTTCCAGACCAGGTGTAGCAAATGAAAAAGTGCAGTTAATTCAAGAACAGGAATTCCTGTGTCCTTGCTGGGAATTCCTTTTGGGAACTTGACTTTTCGACTCCAGATCCTGCTGTCTGGATCAGTGTTCTGGCTGGAGGTGCTGGATTCTCTGACTTTGCCTCCTCACTCTGTGTCTGGCTCTGCTCCTGGGTCTTGGCCCTGGGCCATATGAGGGGCCAGGAAATGAACAACAAGGAGGACAAGAGCATTCTTTCTTGAAAGTCGGGACTTCCCCTCAAGAACCTGGGCCTGGGGCCAGGACTCTGCATGACTGGGAGCAAGTCACTTAAACCTCCTGTGCCTCAATTTCCCCCTTCTACAAAGTGGGGCCAATGATTCTTGTGTGTCAGCACTCTTACTACCAAGTGCTGAGTAAGGGCAAAATAATACCCCTTTCTCTATGTATCTCTGTATGCACACACACTAGATATATATATGTTCATGTAATCACCACTTCTCTATGTATATTTCAAATCAAGGCTCTTGAGTAGGAGAAGTGAGCCAGCTTGCACCTCGGGCTAACACATGGGACTTTGCTCAGCCATGTCCCCTGGGATACAGGGGTACACCAGGACCAAGTGGCAGACCTGTGGGCTTCAGCCTCGGGGCCAGGCCATGCCTGCCACCCCCTGACAGAACAGGTTCCACAGTGCTGCCTTTGCTTCCTGCCCCTTGAGGTGGGCCAGGCTGGCTCCTGGCTATTGCAGGGATCTCTGGTCCCCAGGAGACCTTGGGGGCCAGGCAGGTAAGGATCAGGGGAGGTAGGGGAGAGCAATTACTTTGTTCACTATATGCACCCATGGGGGCCTGGGAGTCCCCATTTGCAGGTGGGTGGGGTCTCCAGCCCACACTACCCAGACCTGGGCTTCCCTCTTCTCAGGATCCACCACGGGGTTGGGGGACAAGAAGTCTGTTCTAGTCTCAATAAATCTTATCACAATTCCAAAAAGGCTTTCCTGTGTCTCTCTGTCCCTCTGGGGGGAAGGGACAATGGAGGAATATTCCCCAGGCCTGGGCGACTGTCCTCTGGTCAGAGGGAGGACCCCGCTGCCTGCCTGGTGCGCCTGTGAGCTGAGATTGTGGGGATCATTCAGTCATTCCTTAATTCAGTAGAGCTGTACGGGGCTGGCTTTGTGCCAAGGCCCGTCCTGGACACCTGGGATGTGGGGAACCAGGCATAGCAATCACTGCTCTGGAACAGTCTACAAACGAGCAGGGAGCACAAAGACATACTCTGGTCATGACAAACTACACCGCACATTACTGATGGGACAGTGTGGGCCTGCTGGGTTAGAGACCGCCTACTCCCTGATGTGTGCGTGAAGGGCTGGGAAGAGAAGATGGGCTTTCGGGGCACAGGAAGGTGTCGGGGGACCAGAGCAGAGGCTACTGAGGGCAGACGCAGGCATCTTGGGCCAGGAAGCTGGTGTGGTGGTGGGAAGCAGCAGGGTTGGGATGATTCTGAAAGCAGAATGGATGACTCAATGGAAAACTGGACTTGGGAGACGGGGTGAGTGCAGTGTGAGGGCAAAGTGAACTGAGATGCCTCGCTTTCTTCATGGGACTGAGAAATGGACGTTGCAAATCGTGTGATCTGCTTGGCATAGTGTCTGGTTCATAGCGTGGCTGAGCACAATGTAGCTGTCATCCTGGTGTTTGGAGGCCACCCTGTCCCCCACAACCTGCTCACCTCTGTCCCATCCCCACAGCTCACTGCATTTTGTCCTTGCTTCCAGCCGTGTGCCATGGGCTCCCCTGTGCTCCCCCGGGGTCTCATTTTCCCACCGTGTAGGGCTGACACCACTGGCCCTGCCTAGCCTGGGAGTATGGAGAGGGGGGACTCGAGGAGTGGCCAGTACTAGGTTTCGGCAGCAGGTGTAAATCCTAGGTGGGGACTGTGTTCCAGGGACTCCTGGACTCCTGTTAGGCCCACCAGACTAAGGGGCAGACGGCATCCTGGGGTCTTCCTGGGTCAGGGTCGTCGGGTCTGAGGGGACCCAGGCCCTAGCAGAAGCTGCCTCCTGTCACTTCCCAGCAGTGCTCAGCCCGCCTGAGGGAAGCAGCGGGGCAGTGGGGCCTGTGACCAGCAGGCGGCGCTGGCGAGCTATAGCGCCCCTTTGAGCCCCCAACCCACTTTCTGGCTGGCTTCCCTGCAGACACTCCAGTTATGGGGGCTAGGGACCCAAAAGAGACATCCTTCTGCCACTCAGAGCTGCCCTGGAGAGGTGCACGATGGGGCTGCCGACAGGTGCGTGGCCACCGAGGGCGGAAAGGAGAAATTGCCAGGTCCTGATAGGGTCCCGGGAGGTCTCCACCCTCGACAACGCTAATAACTAAGACCTGTGCTCCTCTTTGTTTGGTTCCGCCCACCCCTTTAAATCACAGATTTCACTTCAGTTTGTATGTGTCGCTGTCACATGTGGGGTGGCTCCTAGTCAGCTGGTTTGGCAAAGTTTCTGGATGATTACAGAATAACATGTGTCCCCAACCCGCAGAGCAGGTTGTGGGGGCGATGTTGCATTGACCAGCGTCAGGGGACACACATCAGAGGCAAGGGTGGGTGTGCAGGAGGGAGAAGGCGCAGAAGGCAGGGCTATAGCTCAGCACTCTCTCTCCTGCCATGCTCTGCCTGACCGTTCTCTCTCCCAAACAGCCAGGTCGAGGAGGAGGAAATGGGGCTGGAGGAGGGCGGCGGGCTGAGACCCCAGCATATCAGAGACTAAGTCAGGATCACATGCGGTTTCCTGCTCAGGTGCTGAGACAGCAGGCCGTGTCCTGCAAACAACAGGAGGCACCTGAAGCCAGCCTGGGATGCCCAGGCCCAGGTGTGGTGCATTCAGCAGCACAGCCAGAGACAGACCCCAATGACCCGGCCTCCCTGTCGGCAGCCAGTGCTCCGAACAGAGCCCTGAGCAGCCTCTGGACATTAGTCCCAGCCCCAGCACAGCCCGTCCCCCAAGCTGATGTCACCGCACCCAGACCTTGGAGGCCCCCTCCGGCTCCGCCTCCTGGGAGAAGGCTCTGGAGTGAGGAGGGGAGGGCAGCAGTGCTGGCCGGACAGCCGCTCTGGGCAGGAGAGAGAGGGAGAGACAAGACACACACAGAGAGACGGCGAGGAAGGAAAATATCCAGAGGGACACCCAGAGCGAGACTCGGAGCCAGACAGAGGAAGAGGGGACGTGTGTTTGCAGACTGGCTGGGCCCATGACCCCAGCTTCCCGAGTCCTCCGTGCAGGTGGCAGCTGTACCAGGCTGGCAGGCCACTGAGAGTGAGCAGCTGGGCCCCAGGTAAGGATGGGCTGCCCACTGTCCTGGGGCGTTGGGAGGGGTTTGGATGTGGAGGAGTCATGGACTTGAGCTACCTCTAGATCCTCTGCCCTGCAGCCACTTTCTCCTGGGACGAGGCTTCCTGCCACCCTTGAGGGCTCAGTCACCACAGCCACTGAACGAAATTGTCCTGAGCCTGGGAAGATGGACACGTGTCCCCTGGAGGAGGGAAGAGCCAAGGGGCATGTTGTCCATCACATCTTCTCTGAGCTGGGGCTGGGGTTAGGGGCATCCTGGGGCCAGGGGACTAGACGTGCTGTGGTGGCAGAGAGAGAGAAGAGTCCGTTCTCTCTCTGTCTCCTTTGCTTTCTCTCTGACACTCTTGATCTCCATTTCTGGATGAGTCACTTCCTTCCTCTATGCACCAAATGTCCCATCTGTGAAATGGGAGTATGAAGCCCCACCAGCCAGGGTTGTAGTGGGGAAGAGGTAAAACCAGGCATAGACATAGAAATATAAATACAGCCTATGGCCCCTGTGGTCAGTTGGAAAAGAAATTAACTTGAATGTGGTCTAGTTCTCATTTTTAGAAATAAAATGTATGTCTTGTCATTTTAACATGTGGCCCTTAAATTCCATGCCCTCACCACTCTCCTCTGATCCACATCCCTTGGAGCCCCACATCTCTAGTGAGAGCACTGGCTCTGCCCCCAGCCCTCGTGGCTCATGCTGGCATAGGGCGCCGGCTCCACAGCCTGGGCACCATCTTCAGACAAGCGCCCAGTGGCATTTGCCTGCTGGCCCTGTGGAATCCACACCCCCACCAGGTACCCAGACTAGTTCAGGTCTCTGGAAGGACCGTGGGTTTGCTGTGTCCCAGAGCTCCAGGGCAGGGGTCAGGGCTCGGGTGTCAGGCGGTGGCATGGGCAGAGGATCGAATGCCCCGGCAGCTCTGAATGGTCCCTTGTGAAAAATTGATGCGCATTCTAGGGGACAGGTTGGGAGCCAGAGGGGCCTCACACCAGGGCCTGTAGGCTGGGGCTGCCTTTTAAGCTCCTTCCAGAGCCCATCTCTGGGCCTGGCCCTGTGCTGGGCAAGGCTGGAGACAAGGCAATGTCTCAGACCCTCTCCCACCGGCCGCATCCCACCCTGGATCAACTCCCCACCTTTGGGGGCAGAGGTGGGACAGATCCTTACCCTGACAACATAATGCATATAGTCAAAATGGGATAAAGGGGAATATAGAGGCTCTTGGCAGCTTTGGGGTGGTCAGGGAAGGCTTCTTGGAGGAGGTATCATCTGAACTGAGCCATGAACCATAGGTGGAAATTCACTAGTCAAAATTTCAGGTAGAAGGGCCAGTGTGTAAAGGCCAGGAGATGGCAAGAGCTGGCGTTTTTCAGGAACAGTGAGTCACTGAGGATGTCCAAGTATAAGGGTGTGAAAGGGAGTGAGCAGTGAGAGAAAAGACTGAGGCATCAGCAGGGGCCAGACTGTGCTGGGCGTGGGGGGCCCAGGTGCGGTGCATTCAGCAGCACAGCCAGAGACAGACCCCAATGACCCTGCCTCCCTGTCAGCAGCCAGTGCTCTGCACAGAGCCATCCTGAGGGCGGTGGGTGCTCTTGAGAGGTTTCAGGCAGGGTGTGCCGTGAGCAGGTCATGCCCAGCCCATGACCTTCCCCTCTCTCAGGCTTGTCCTTGTCACCCACATTCCTGGGACAATCCCTAAGCTGAGTGCCGGAGATTAAGTCCTAGTCCTATATTTGCTCTGGCTAGCTGTGTGACCCTGGGCAAGTCTTGGTCCCTCTCTGGGCCCCTTTGCCATAGGTCCCTGGTGGGGCCAGACTTGCTACTTTCTAGGAGCCCTTTGGGAATCTCTGAATGACAGTGACTGAAAGAAGAATTCAGCTGCTCTGGGCAGTGGTGCTGGTGACGGTGGCTGAGGCTCAGGTCACGCAGGTTGGGCAGTGGCCAGAGGGAGAGAAGCCAGGGAGGGTTCCCTCGAGGGAGGGGGAACTGGGGCTTTGGGTGGAGCCCAGGTGACCCCAGCCAGGCTGCAGGCTTCCAGGGCTGGCCTGCCCAGAAGCATGACACGGTCTGTCTCCCTGCAGAACTGTGCCTGGCCCAGTGGGCAGCAGGAGCTCCTGACTTGGGACCATGGTGATTCTTCAGCAGGTCAGTGCTCCCCCCTCTTTGGGTGGCCTGTCCTCCCCATCCCATATCCCCTCTTCCATATGCTTACCCGTGGGACACCCTCCCCAGGGTGTTCTCTTGGAAAATTGCTAGACCTCCAAACCCAGCCCTCCAGGCCCAGTCTGAAACCTGTTCCCTCTGATGTGCTGGCTGGGGTTTCCTTCTCTCACTGGCTCACCCCATTGGGCAGAAATGATTTTATTTACAGACATCTCTGGATCCCAGGCAGTGGAACAGCATGTGCAAAGGCCTAGATGTGGGAAGGTCCCTGGGGAAGAGGAGAGAAGGTTGGCAAGGCTCCCAAAGCCAGGCCACAAAGGGCCCTGAGCCCAACTTATCCTTAGGGCCTTGGGGAGCAGTGACTGGAGGGCGGGGGTGACATGGCTTGAGCTGGAGACCCCTGGGATTTTATGGGAAGTAGCAGAGGTACTGCCCCGAGCTGAGTCCTCCAGCCCCCCTTCCTACTGAGGGCCACAGTGGCCTCTGACCC